TGTTAGTACAGCGATTTTCGATTAATTCAGGTGAAAAAATCTGCATACCATCAGTTGAAACTGTATATTCTCTTCACCCAATGCTCGGATTAGTTCCGCCGAATTTTGTAAATGCACATTATCTGTAAAATGATAATTTCTGGGGTCACAAACATAGAATAGCATAATTCTGTGAACCACTGAAAGTCAGTAATCAGCATTTTTCATAACTAGAAAATCTAAATGACAAGCTATACAAATTTCATTGACACAAATACAGCTAACAACCAGATGCCAGTGCGTAACTCAGGGCGCAGCCCAACTTTCCCAACGAGAATTTCCTAGCCCTGCGCTGGACTTTCAAACACACAATAAACCTTATAATATAGCTATTTTTGGGAATTTCTGCAGTGTTATTGCACCAGTGCAGTTTAAGCTGCGATGTTTTAATCAACTGAGCGCTGCTAAGGCAATTGCGATATACTCAATTCTAGCTGTTTGTGACAAAACAAAAAGGCGTGAGCACACAAGCACAGGAGATTCGATCAGATCTTAAACATATTGATTTAATGCAAAATTTTTACTGATGACAGAGCCCTTTCAAAATAACAAAATATTCTAAAATCATAAATCAATATATCATATTTGCACTTAAAGTGTCATATTTGTTCCTGTCATTTAACTTACAAATCCACAAATATGAACTTTTAGCGCACCGATTCAGCACTATTTCAATCCTTTCGGAAAATGAAACGAACGTCAGGACCGTCAGCACCAGACGATGCAGCACTGGTCAGAGAAACTGGAGAAGTAGCCAATTACACAGTTGGATAAGTACACTGTGAACTACAGCTGTTTCAGATGTGTAGTAATATTATATAATCGCTGATTTTTAGGACTTACCATCAGCGGTACCGTGTACGAGGAGAAATTTCACGTGCTTGAACATGCTAACATTGCGAACAAGATTCGCTCTTTCGTATGCAAGCTCCGATGCATCGCCCATGTAACGCTCCGTGTAAGTGGCATCTACAAGCATAATCGTAAAGACACAGTGAAGAAGGACCACTGGTCAGATACAAGGATCACTTGTCGAAAATGGAAACATATGCTCAGGGACATCAGAGGTTGCAGGATGATGAATAACGAGTTTGCACAGCTTACAAATTAAGGTACAATCAGTCTGGTCTTACTGCTCAGAAGCCGTCGAAAGAAAGTGTTATTAATCGCTACTGACCGTAACTTCCATCCTCGGAATGCTTCTGAGTAGCTCCATCTCTCAGAAGAGGCAAGTGCGGAGGATATTTTGATTTTTGACCCAAAAAATGAGAATCATGTGCGGCAGCTCAAAAGTTCTCATCTGGTCGGTGCGTACAGAAAAACGTAGATTTTCACGAAACACCTTGGGAAAAGTGGGCATCGGCGCGCAAAAGAATGAAAATGTTTTGCAGCTGAAGTAAATTGACCAACCTCGCAGGCATTCGACCCTCCAGCGTCACTTATAATTTGAAAGCAAAGCTTACCGTAGAGTTTGAAGTCGGTTACTGGCGCTACACTGACAGCACATTTGAACAGACGACCACTGTCCCGTTCAACAACGTGCGCCGCAACGAATCCGCCATACGACTGCAGTGAGGAAGAGAGGAAAATTATGAACTCCAAGTAACAAGATGAAAATTAGACCTAAAAGACAGCTCAATAACGAGAAGGACTGAAGGCCCACGTTGACAACTGGCTCGGTCAAGCTAGGAAGATCGAGGCACTGGCTCATTTACGCCCTTTATAAATCTCTTCTGGGAATGGTGTCCTCAAAAAGTTATTCAAATTATAAGGTTGCCAGTGAGATGAACGAAACGGCTTAAACACGGTAAAGAATCGCAGCGGTCGTAAAAACCAAACTGACGAACTCATTTTCGAACTCATTTGACGAACTCAGCCAAACTGATGAACTCATTTTCTCCAGTTTGGAGCAACTTATTACAAAAATATACATAATTGTAATGAAAAAGGAGACTTACCCATCCCCATATTCCAATCCGCTTGGAATCAATGAAACGATGCTTGGCAGCCAAAATTCTGAAAAACCACAGGAACCCTTGAGATGTATTTTAAAGTAAGCGCACAATCGTGTCGACTTCATTTTTTGACAAACACACTTGGCAATTCTGTCATGAAAGGAACTCCCTTCTGCGAAAGATGCGGACCAGAAGGAAATCAATCCATCAGTTTCACTACCTCCGGATCCTCTGAATCTTTTCTATTACACTAGCGGCCCTTGTGTTCCACTCAGTGGCTGCATCGCTTCTCACGCACCGTACGTGATTCATTTCACGTATAAAAAGTCATTCTTTTTGTAGAATGAATTTTGAGATGCACAAATTATGTGCAGATGACTGTGAAAAACAGTTATTAGCGGTGCATGCTCAGTAATCAGGAGCTCTTCTCGCTTCCCCCTCTGTAACGCTGAAAAAGGAACTTTCCAGCAAGTGTCTGCTAACGATACTGTGCTAACACTCATGTAAGGGAGAAAGCAGAGGGAAATGAGAAAAAAAGAATTGATTCTCTTTAAAATATGCAAATCAGAGAGCCGACCCATTTAAATATCGCTTAATTTGTTTTTTACAAAAATAATCTTAGCTTCCTCAGTTTGATGAAGGTTTATGTATTTTTTATAATTTGCAAAATACTGCCAAATGCGTTTTCTTTACAAAAATGGCCTTATTTACAAACTTTGCAGTTTGACTACAACAAAAAATTGTTTGTATAAAGTCTCAGATGTATACTTCATTGTTTCGATCTGATCATCAATTTCGACGGTGCCAAGACGTCCATAGACCGGCTCTTTGTACTTCCAACCTCTCATACCGGATCCTCGACCGTCTATGTATACAACAATGTACTTCGTGTTTGAAGCTAGAAACATGTCTAATGTGTTCGGCGTTACTTCCTCCGTGACTTTCTGCGATCCCGGTCCTGCATATCTGTAAGGTAACGCATCAACTAGCTTTGATTTTCCATTAATACTTGAAATAATATGCGGTTGAGCACAAAGGGCACAAACTTTTTATTAAAGCACATTT